AAGTATGATGATTGGGGGGTTATAATTGGCCTTATAGCAATAATTTGGAGCTTTTAATGTTTAGAAGTCACATTTCTGAATCCCAGAGGATAGTAAGTATAGACAATTTTCTCTTCAGATGGGACAGGAAACTTCAGATTCTATCTGTCAAAAACAAGAGCACTGATGGAGTTGAGGAGGAAACATTGGGAGGGTACTACCTTCTTGCCACCCGTTTCATGTTTCCAGACAGAGGAAGTCAGTGAGGACCACACTTTTGATGCCTCTCAACCACCTCACTGATGCTCACCACAGGGATGAGGGAACTAACCAGGAGTTGGAGATTAGGTAGGACACAACACTGCCTTTTCCCTTACTTTTGGACATGCCTTGCTGATGAAGCTCTCAGTTCTTGGGAAGGCAGCAGTGTGTAGGAACTTCCATTTATTTTGTCAAGAGCCTTCTCACATCTAAGAAATCTGACAACCTCTCTTCTGCTCCCCCTTCCTATGTCAAGCATGGCCAACATTTTTCATGTTGTTTAATTTCTCTGCTTGTAGGTCCGTCTTCCCCAGTGAATGGCATCTCCTTGGGAAACTTGCATCGCCATATCTCCAGCGCTATGTGCCATGGCTGCCACACAACTCCACAGGAAAGAGGTGACGATGGTTTTAATAGTCATTATCAGCCACAGTTCACTGACTACAGCAGCTGTCTCTCTAGTTTTCTCCAGTCAGCACTCTCAAAGGCAGCAGTGAAGGAACCATACATCACTCAGTAATGGAAGTGCTGTAATGTGGCTTGCTACGATGTATAGAGCTCTGTCAAGTTCGCTTTTATAGATTGTTATTTTATTGCAATATTTAACAGACAATTTAAAGGGTGATAGCAAATACTGATATCAACTTGACGAGATCTAGAATCACCTCGGGGACTGATTTGGGCATATCTGTGAGGAGTATCTAGATTTCTGGGCATACCTGTGAGGGAGTATCTAGATTGGGTTAAGTGAATTAGGAAGAGCCCGCCCTAAAAGGCCAATCCATGACCTGGGGCTCTGGACTGAATAGTAATAAGAAAATGAGCTAAGCGTCACAGTGAATCCTGTTTGCTGACTGTGGACATGACGTGACCAGCTACCTCGCCCTCTTGCTGCCGTGGCCTCTTCACCACAGTGGGCTGTGTCCTCAAACCATGAGCCAGAATAAAGTGTCCTTTTATTGCACAGTCCTGTCTCTCTGCTAAACGTCTCAAAGTTTCACATTCCAGCACTTTCTTTTAGTCTGCCAGTCACTGGGAAAGTTGCCACTGCTTTCCCAAAATGGAAAATAAGAGTAGCCCCAAAGGCACTTAATTTTAATAGATAAATAAGTAACTAAAGAAACAAGTAAGATTTCATTTTGAAGCTAGCAAACAACAAAAAATTTCTTGCTTTTGATGTAGCTATTTCTGTCAAGATGACATCAGGAGGTTAATATGCTTACAAGCTCTTATACATCACCAAACCACACTCCCAGAAATGGCTCTTGAGAACCAATTTACCTCCTTACAGGACCAAAGATATCTCACATGAGTTAAGGTTCTACTCTTTGTACGAATCACTTTAAAAATATTCATTGGTTATAGTGTGTGTGTCCATGTGTGTGAGTGCATGTGTGAGTGTGTATGACACATGGACACAACTATAGGGGCATGCATGCCACACCATGCCTGTGCCATGAGAGGACCGCTTTTCCCTGTGAGTTCAGGTTCATGTAGCAAGGAATTTTATCTGTTGAGGCATCTTGCCTGCCCTTAATCTTGGTATCTTATAAAAGGAAATTCAACAATCTCTATGCCTCCTTGGAAAAAAACCCCAAAGGTTCTGGGATGGAAGTAAATTGTTAAATGAATTATTATATGACACAGTGTTCAACACCCTAATATACATTGTTTTTATTCTCGAAATAGCCTTAAAAATGAGCTACTAGTGTATTATTATTTTAAATTAGATAAAAGTGATAAGGAATCAGGTTGATTAAGAATTTGGTCTGGTAACAAAATTGGGTTTGAGTCTACCTATTATCTGCCTTAAAATCCTATTACTTTTCAGTAATAGGAAGGTTGTTTTAAAGAACATCTTAAGCTGTTCTGGCTACTTGGTCTCATTTTCAAGAAGAATTGAGCTTGAGCTGACACACTTTGTCCCATATTTTGTTATCTCTAATCCCTCATGAACTCCCACAGACTGACTGGCTTCTACCCCAATGTCGTATTAAAGTGGTTGTCATCCGATGGAATAACTTTCTTCATCTCAGTCTTTCTTGGCATGTGACCTGCTCCTTAACAGCACTGGAAAAGCATCTTTCCCTTGACCTCAGTGCTTTACACTGCTCCCAGCTGTCACAAGCTTTCCTCACTCATCTGTTTCCTTCCCTTCATCCTTGTCCTCCCCCTGCTTCCCTGGGTGGCTTTCCCAGAGGACAATGGGAATATGGCTGTCTGCCTTCACAGTCTGAAAAACAGGTTTCTTTGGACATTTTAGGAAGCTTTGCATGCCATCTACATAAATAGAAGAAACAGACTAATTAAGGGGTATTTTTTTTTTTGCACTGCAGATGCCATTTATATTAGGAATTACTTGTGTCCTCTGAGTATCTCACTCCATACCACCAATCACCAGGATTGCCTGATAAGGCACTGAACAAGACAGAATTGAATCTTGAAGCTAATGTTAGAAGTTTCTTAAAATGTTTGGGTCATGATGTCAAAGATGAACTTGAACAGAAAGCTAGCATCTATGATACATACTGAAGCCACTGTAAGCAACACTGTTCCCGTTTTCAAGACTTCTACATGGCTAGCCGGAACACACAGTTTTAGAATAGACTGTTACAGTGTAGCATTCTTACCTGAACATAATCGAAGCAACGCAAAAATGCTGCCTCCAGTGAAAACTGATTGAAGGTGAGGTTAATGAGCTTGTTTTCAGGTGCGATTATGTGCCATATGCAGTACAGACCTTTGTCATGGTAACCGTTCGAATCAGAATCAGGAGAGACAAAGCTGTGGTTGTCCTCTGTCAGGTACCCACCACATCCATGCTGTGGTCCTGTCAGAACAAAGACACATCACTGCACATGAACAAAATGCTCTTAACTCTTATGTGGAAGGTTTTTGAAAGGGAGAGGTTCCATTTTCTACCACGTATTTGTGAACATTATCAAAAGGTTTCCAAACACTGGCGAGCATGAATATGTGTTTCTCGACCTTTCTTGGCTCCTTTCTTAATCTCTTTTTTCCCATCACTAGAGCCGCCTCCTTATCAGCATGTATAGATACCTGAAAGAGCGAGTAACCACATTTGGGCGTTTGCATGCACCTCTTTGGAACTATTCATGCAATTTATTCAAGCTTTTGCCAACCCTGAAAAACTCAATTTTGTGAAAATTGAGTATTTTGCATAATAAAGCTCATGAAAATGTGCACATGCCCGACTTTTATGTTGTACTTTTGTGAACACTGCCAAAACTGAAAATTGAATTCATGAAGATTTACCCAATACTGCTAAGAAAATTACTTCCCAACCCGCTCTTTATTTATTTAGTCTGGCAGAGAGAGGCTGTGCAGAGGGCCAGCTCTATCACCTAGTGTCCATTAAACCTTATTCTGTGTCCATTAAACCTTATTCTACTTTTTCAGAATCAAGTCAGGAAAAGCTTGAAGAACAAAAGAACTTCATTAGAGAAAAACTATCTAAATTGAAATGAAACTACTAGTAATTCATGACTAAATTACAGAATACAGATGACTGCATGTCTATTTTAGGAAAGAGTAGAAGCAAAATCCTCTGGATTTAGGTTTTGTTTCCTCCACAACCTAGAAGTTATGTCAGAAATGACATATGAAGAACATAAGATGAAGAAAAATACACTGATAAGTTCTAAAGAAAGAGTTAGGTTGAATTAAGCTCAAAGTAGTCACAGTAAAAATGAGATTAAATCGGTGTTCAAATTAATGTTCTACATCTTGCATTTGACACAAACACTGTTAATTTCCTCTCCTATTAGCCTTCCATTTGCCTCTCTCCCATTATTTATCTGCTATCAGAGAAAGGACTACCCTCCTCATTGGGGGCACCGAGATGCTTTTGGACTTGATGAGAAATAGAAGCAGTGGTAGCCCTCCTCAGCACAGTACAGAGCTCACAGAGGCGCTCTGCACAGGCGCATGCTTTAGCAGGCCAGGCTGCCCTGTCCACAGCTTCTGAGCCACGCAAATAGCATATTTGCACAGCCGGGTATTTCCTGAAGTTGAATAGCTTCCAAAGTCCTGATCCCTAATATGAGCATATCAAAACGAATCTGGAATATAAGTACTGCCCAGAGCCACACTATGTGCTGCTGCTGGGCCAGCTCCTGAAACATGCCTCCAAGCCAGAGAAGGAACTGGGGCTTGAGCAGCTTTTATTCCATCATAGGCTATTGTTATATAAGGAAACCAATTAAGTTTATTGGCTTGCATAACAAGGAGAAATGATTATAATATTAATGAAATGGAAAATGTATTATTTATTTTAATATTTACTTAATATTCAAGGAAGTACGCTTAGGATTGAAGTCCATTAGAAGTAATAACAGACGTAACACATAAATAATGGTGATACTGTGACGATAACGATAGACACCTTAAAGGGGAAAGGGAGAAAATCTTACAAAAGTAAGTCATCAACTAGTTACTATGTGAATATAGAATGTTCCACTACAGTATTCACCTCAGGCCCTAAGTATGCATAGAGTAAGAATACATAGAAATAGAATTGAGCTCACCTAAGCTGGACTGAAGGAAGCTCTTCATCCAATGTTAAAAGAACAGTTCTTAATATTACATGTGTAGGAAGTTACAATTTGTTCTGAAAACCATGAGACAAATTAAGGGTCATAACAGGCTCATGACTAGGGCATGAGAACCCATTGATTTTATCCTGTGGATTGTGTGGATATACTTGAGAGCCATTTTTAAAAACTCATTATTATTATTATTATTTATCCTATGTGTGATTATATGCTACATGTGTGTGAGTGCCTGTCAGAGCAGGAGAGTGCATAGTTAGGTTTCTTGGAGCTGGAGATATAGGCACTGGGAGCCCCCTCTGTGGCTCCTGGGAAGGAGCTTTAATAGTCTGGGAGCATGGTAAACACTCGGCTTCTCAGCCATCTACAGCTCCTTGAGGGGCTTTTTGATGAGAGCAGCAGGAGTCTCATTTGACCTAAAATTGCAGCTGGTAGTAGCATCTTACATGTAAGAAGCCGACTAGGGGAGGTAATGGCAACAGTGAGACCGCTGCTACAGGGTACAATCTGGATTGGCGGGTGAATGAACAGTTGGAAGCTAATGTACATCATTCCAGTAGGATGCCAGCTTCAAACGTGATGTGTTACTTTTAAATTAACCTATAGATTTTATTCCTATTGGCATGTTAATTATTCCCAACAAATGATTAAGGGAACAACGATGGATGGCTCTTCTCATAGTGTGCATGAATGGCATCATGCACACTTACTATACAGTGGCAATAACGCTACTAATAAAAGTAACAGCATAAGATAGATATGCCTGGAATGGAGGCAGGCATGGGACTCTGCACACCCACACATGATACAAAGAAATGCTTTTGTTATAAGCTACTGACAACTTGACAGCTGGCTACACAGTATCACTGTAGTAACAGTACATATATACATACAGAGAGGAATAGAGAGGGAGAGACAGAGAAAGAGAGAGCTTGTCTGACTTCTCTGAGTTATCAAACCATCATAAAGAACCCAATTCATAAAATACAGAACAAATAAAAAGGAAAGTTAATATTACCTAATGTTAACCAATATTATCAGTCAGATAACCCCGGCCAAAATAGCCAAGTAACTGAAAGAAACATGATATTGTATGGACAAGTAGAAGTTTACGGGGTTCTGGAAATGATAACAGTAGAAAACGCCTCACTTTAGTATGTTTAAACACAGCCCCGCTTCTCCATGCTTCTGCTTCTGCTTCTGCGGTGGGTGAAGATGCAAGTATGCATGTCTTCGGGGGATATCAACAGTAATGTTAGCAAAATGAGGATGCACTGCCACAGAGTGCTGTGGCCACCTTGCTGTGCCCACATCCCTGTAGTCACAGGGTATAATAGGACCTATGACCACGAAAGGGTCCTGTGCATTAAAGCACCATGTTTCCTGTGTTGGTAATTTGAAGTTCCTTTTCTCTGGTAACGACTATCTTAACATTTCCTGCTCTGACATCACAAATCTACCATATTTCCATTACCACATCTTTTCATACCTTTAGAAAGTGCTTATCCACCACCCTTTTCATCAATCAGACTCTGCAAGAGCTGCTTTGATGACACACCCTGAACAAGAACGAATGTCATTACAGCACTCTTCAGTAAGTTGAAAACATTAACTAAAAAAAACTATTTCTTCAGAGGAATAAAATGTTTGTGTGGGGGAGGGTGACCTGCTGGAGATATAAACCACATTCAGCAGAGAGTCCAGCCAGATCTACTTAATTAAGTCAGTAACTGAACCCTGAATGATTAAACTTCAGGGTGAAGCTGAAGGCAGCATCGGTCTGATAAGGGAAGAAATAGCAGCCATATCTAGAAGAGACATCTTAAAGGCTTTAGTGGAGGAAGACAGCTTATTAAAAAGTTATTTTGAGGACTGACATTTTTGTGATTGATATTTTCTTGAGATCTTCAGGATGGTATCTCTCCATCTCTGGACGCTGACTGCTCTAGAGGTTAGTGACCAGCTATGCTTGAGTTTAGTATATTCCTGTTTTCCAGGATCATCTGTGGCTGGAGCCAGCAGACAAAAAGCATAAGACAAAAGCATCTAAAAGTGGTGCCATAGTGTAACAGAGAATGCTATCATGGCTTTTCTTCAACCACAAGGGGCTTGAGCTTTGTCATCCTTATTTGGAGAAAACCTGACTGACTTTCACAGCTGTTGTAGCAACCAGTCCAGAGTTGTGAATTCACTTAAGGATTCAACATGGTTTCTGATGAGCCTGCCGTGTCTATTTCTCTAAAAGGATTTCATAGAATACAGCATAACTTCATGACAAAAAACTCTCAGAAAACTAGGATTAGAAGGGAAATTTCTCAGGTTGATAAAGAATACCTGTGCAGCTTAAAGGAATTATCAAACTTTAAAGAAGTTGTGTGTGTGTGTGTGTGTGTGTGTGTGTGTGTGTGTGTGTGTGTGT